CATGGACGATGCTCTTCTGAAATATCAACAGTTGTTTCGCCCTTGGCAGTCCCCGCGAGATTAACCCGTCGAGTTGAGGCTTCGCACCCCTTCTTGGTCACTTTGGAACCCTGCAGAACATCTTTTTCCAAAGACTCGTTCATCCAACGAACAACGAGGCTCTGGACCACATTACCAAGGGAAGTGTTCCTCGAGGCATATAATCTCCAGAAATTTAAAAAGAACACCAATTCCTACCTTATTTCCCTTGGTTCTCACGATGTTCTCTAAACATTACAGGATATCCCTTTTCGTGAGAACCAGAACATATATAGCAAGTTAAATAATATCTCATGATAATATAATAATTTCACAATGTTTTGTTCTCTAGTGATGGAAGCGAAATTATTCCTATAATTCATGATATAAGGAAGACATGCCATGATCCAAAAGTTTTGACTACTAAAGACAAAGGTCTTCGACACAGTACATCATTCAACTTTTTCAGAAAATTTTTAATCAATGGGACTCAGAGGCACGAATTCATACCTCGAAAAAAAAAGGGCCGATCAGTACAAAAACTCAGCATCAAATAAACTTTTTCTTATAAAGGGTGTTCCACAAGAATATGTGTTAGGACCTATACTATATTTACTTCACGTTCAAAATATTTGTGAAAGTGGTATAACTAGATATAGTATGTATGCTGATGATACAATACTTCCATATGAGAGGAAACCTCCTCCAGATTTGGAAAATATGATAAATGAAGACTTAAGAATATTTGTAAAATGGCTCCACTCTAACCTTTCATCATTGAATACTAATAAAACGGAATATATGATTTTTCACTTGGAAAATGAACAAAAAATGTACCTGAATGTCGAAATTAAAAATGAACTCTTGCAACAAACTGAACAATTGGAATATCTTGTTATCTGGTTGGATGAAAAGTTGAAGTGGAACAAACTCATTGATTTTTCGACGAAGGAAATATCTCCAATTATTGATGCTATGAGAAGCTGTCCCAAACTGGAAATCAAAATTGGCAACATCATTCTCTACTCTCATATACTAGGTCGCATCGACTATTCGATTAATAATGTTCAAAAAATTATTTCAATAAGATAGCAGCATTATATACAAAATCGTTGGAAGTACTATACAGGGTGTCCGCTAAAAGGAGGTCAATCCATTAACCATCTATTCCTTGAACAAAAAAAATATAAGTTTCTAAATACCATTTTTCATTTTAGCCCTCTATATTCGATATACAGGGTGTCAAAGTTATAAATAAAAAACAGTTTTTTTCTAATTACTCGCTTATTTAATGAGATATCAATCTCAAAATTGGTACATGACTTCAGCACAAAGAGTTATATCCTACCCCCATATTTTTTTGTAGGTGCGCTAATGAATTTCGATCTCTTTTTCTTCAAGTGTTCAATCCTTTCTGGACATATTTTTTCTCATGTAAAATTTCGATCAAATTATTTGTTTTTAAGATAATTCGAAGAGTACTGGATATTATTTGATGCCTATGCGGCTTACGGTAATCTCCTAATTTTCACATACTCCTTTTTATTTCGTCGAAATTGGAAGAGGGCGTATTGTTTTACGTACGAAAAGGTTAATATGGAAATACCGGATGCTCAGAGCGAATGTATCAAAATTATTTTTACAAAAAAAAAGAAATTAAAAAAAGTGAGGACACGTGTCGAATTTCGGGTAAATAATGATTTTAGGAGGATGGTGAGAGCAATGTCGATTGACGAGCCCACCCTTTTGAAGGATTAATAAATTTTTAAATTTTTTTTTTAAATCGGTTTGAGCGGTTCTGGGTGGTGCGGAATTTTTCAAAAATATTTTCGAGCCTCTTCCCCACCGTATGATATGTCGGGCGCGAACGAACAGGAAATGAAATCGGAAAAAAAAAATATTTTCGGAAATTTTTGGTGAAATTATATTCATGATTTTTATAGCTGTTTCATGAGAGAAATAGCAGATCAGGATTGTCTTTATGGATGTATGAAAGATTTTATGCATAAGTCACATATTTTTCAAAGGCTAAGGTTTTCTTTAATCAAAAGTGCTCGCATGTGTATTCAAAAAATTCATATCGAGCAATTCATTTAGACGTGTTGAATTTCTATCAATTTTTTTTTTCGTAAAAATTATTTTGATACATTCGCTCTGAGCACCCGGTATTTCCATATTTACCTTTTCGTACGTAAAAAGTTACGCCCTCCTCCAATTACGACGAAATAAATAGGAGTACCTATGTATAAACATTATGAGATTACCGTAAGCTGCATAGGCATCAATCAATAACCAGTACTTTTCGAATTATCGTAAAAACAAATAATTTTTCCGAAATTTCACAAGAAACAGAAAATACTCAGAATGGATTGAACACTTGAAGAATAATAGATAGGAAGTCTTTAGCGCACGTAAAAAAAATATGGGGGTAAGTGTGTACTTTACCCCCAGTATTTTGAATATTTGACAGTTATTCTTTGTTCTCTTCACACAATGTAACTCTTTGTGCTGAAGTAATGTACCAATTTTGAGATTGATATCTTATTAAATACGCGAGTAATTGAAAAAAAAACAGTTCTTGATTTCCAACTTTGACACCCTGTATATCGAATATGAAGGGCTAAAATGAAAAATGGTATTCAGAAACTCATATTGTTTTTGTTCAAGGAATATATGGTTAATGGATTGACCTCCTTTTAGCGGACACCTTGTATATCGTCTTCCATTTGATACATCAACTAATTAATTGTATGCAATAACAAATATGTTTTCTTCAGATGGGATATATAGAGTAGCAACTTTCATATAATATCATAAATAGAGAATTCAGAACGAATTTTATTTTGATTAGGAATTCTGAAATTCATGATCATAAAACCAGACAATTCAACATGTTCCACATTGAAGCTGCTAGCTCCATACTAGGAAAAACAAGATTTATATAATCATGCAGCCTCAATAGAATTCAATAAACTTCCTGAACATATCAAAAGCTGCAAGAATATAGGTCAATTCAGGAATGAGGTGAAAAAACTGATTGTTTCTGAACGGATTGCATAATTGTCTCAGTGAAATTGTTTTTATATGCTCTCTCTACGAATATTTTTCTTTGTTTGCCAATTTCTTGTTGTTGATGTATTTTGAATTATGGAATGTTTACCGATAGGTATATTATAATTCTATACTTTCTCATACCAGATCCTTTTTGTCTGGAAGTTATTTTTTTGGTCACGAATCGAACTCATTCCAAATGGGCTACTACACGTTTCTTGAAATGATATGTGTGAACGGAATTTATTTGCGGTTGATTTTCGAATATGAATTCTTCGATTCTCTTCAATTGACTACCGAATTTCTGTCATACCTATTTCATGAGTCAGGCGATTTGCCTATTTGTTATAGCCGAATTCAATGACTTTCATGATAATAATTATTTGAATGTGGAATGGTGGGATGGCGCAGTGAATGAGCGCTCGGATAACAATTAGAACGCCAAAAAGTTGCCAGGGTCGATCCCTGGCAGAGCAGAGAATTTTGATTTATATGAAACGAGTTATATATTCAAATTCCCCTGGCCTCGGCCGCAGATGACTCCACACGATTTGCTGTTGTGTTCCAATTAACAGTGTTGCTCATAAGATAGCGTATGGAGTTAGTCACAACGCCTACACAAAACACACATGGGCTGAAGGACCTTTCATCGATGGTCAGTTGGTATGTACATAAATACCAACGGAGTACATATACTTATCTGCTCACCTTAACCTAATGCAATGATTAAACATTAGTAGTGGTAGTAGTAGAAGTAGAAGTAGTAGTAGTAGTAGTAGTAGTAATAGTAGTAGTAGTAGTAGTATAGTAGTAGTAGTAGTATTTATACCTGGTTGGTAGATATGTATGTACATACCAAATGGCTATCGACCTTGAGAGAGGTGCTTCAGCTCATTAGTGATCTGTGTAGGCTTGAAATATGATTATACTCTATTGGGCACGGTGCCGGCTAGATTATAGTTGAAAGATTTCAATATGCCATATAATGGGTTGACGATTGTATGACATACACGAATTGCCACTATTGGCCCAGAGCCGGCTGAATTATAGGCAAACAATAATTACAATATATGCCATACAATGGACCGACTACTGCAGCTTAGCCATGGCCAGTAATCTGCCGATTCATCATGTACTGGGCCAGAAGGCAACCAGAGATTTGATACCTGCTGGGTAGGTAGGTTATGGTAGGTACCTATCCATCTTCCAGATGCCTATTTTTGTGGGCCTGGTGTGACATATTATCATGATTTTTATTGTTGCAGAAAGCACCAATATCCATGTTTCAACCATACCTTCACCATGAATAACTGTGTTATTATAATTACTGAGTAGAAGTTTTCAGATTTCTTCTTTTGTTCCAGGATTGATAAAGCAGGATAACTGAATAAGACTTAGAAAGACATTGGTAAACCTCTCTCGAAATATCACTGTGTTAATGGATCATACCTACTCACTCTTTTAGAAGTTTGACAAAATCAATTCATTGACACAAAAAATATCCTGGGGTAGATCAACTTTTCTGTCTTTTCTAAAAATCATTGAGATGATCCTCTTGATAATTCCAGAGGAATTAGCATAACCTTAAAATTGCTAGAATATATTTAGAAAGTTCTTATACGATATTGTTCAGATGTTTTGAGAAACATTGAATATTGTTATGAAGTAATATATCGATTATATGTTGTTGATGATATATATTCAGTCAATTTTCAAAATTGAACGTTTTATTGTAATATCAATACCAGACACAAACGTCGATCGCCTCTACGTATCTGCGATATTATGTAAATCTCTGAATAACATAACGAAGTAACAATGTGATATAAAATGTATGTTTGAGTTATGTTTCCATGTTTACTGGGATATCTTTTCGTGTTTTCATAAAATAAACAAGGAACTGAATAACCTTATATTCGAGTAATACTCACTTGAGCTACAGCAGTTGTGATTTTGGATCCTCCAGCAGCTCCGACCACTATTTTGACATCGCCATTCTCATCTGTAACTATAGACGGTGCCATTGAAGAGAGCGGTTTCTTGCCCGGTTCCATCTTGTTCTTTGGAGAACTTGCCAATCCAAAATAATTTCCAGTGTTTGGAAAGGAAAAATCATTCATAATACTGTTGTAAATGATTCCAGTCTGTTTGGAAGTGATACCAGCTCCAAAACTAAAATAACATGATAACATCATCATAAAACAAATCCATTAACTACTCTTCTTGATGAAAATTGATGAGAATAAATTGCATATAGTCGAATTATTCAAAACAAGTCAAACATATCCGCGATTTGAAATCTGGTTGGCACCAATGTGTGATAGGATGAAAGACCAATCTTATTTCAGGCTGAATAAGGGGTGTTTGGAATGCATAGTGACAGACATTTTTGTGATCAATTCGTTTTCTATTGGCCTTACAAGATATATATATATAGAAAAACAGCTAATGCACATCATAGTTGAACTTTGAAACACTGCACGATTTTTGAAAACATATTAAAAAATATTAAAAATAATTACATTACAAGTCTTATCAGAATCTTACTGGTCCTGTGAAACTTCGTCAAGAAAATGAGCACATGGTGTTCGACCTGTGGGAGGAGCAATGTCAATGCCGAACGACGTGTGTTCACTGTCAGAATTCAATGTCATTTCATGGAAATATGCGGTCAATTTGAATTTGAAATCAATGATTAGGTTTGTTTTGGAAAGTAAGTAGATATAACTGTAAATTTACTGAGGTTTGCAATATCTGATCGTTTATTCATACACTTAGTTTCGTTGTTTATATGTACCATTTCTAAGGAAGTTCTTTTTTGATAACTGGTTTGTGATTCTGAAATTTTAATATTCGTGATATTTCCAAAATGATTGAATTTAGTGGTGTGTTCTGAGAGTACACATCTCGTTTTTTTCGAATTACAATCAGTTCTATGAGACGTTATGCGACCTTGTGAATTATTTCCTGTTTGTCCTATATGAACCTGATCACAATTGAGACAAGGAATACTATAAATGACATTGGAGCTTTCCAGTGTTGTCAAAGGAATTTTGATTTTACTATTTGAGGAATATATGGTTTTTATATTTTTTCTTGCATTACGAAGTTTGTCTATTTTCAAATCAGGGTGATCCATTTGAAAAAAATGAGTTTCGGCGATTTGAAAATAGCGAAACTCGGTCCTTATTTTGAAACACTCTGTATATCTTGAGTGGACCCAAATAATGTCTGAGTCCCTACAAGTACTTCTAGTATCTGAATACCCAGTTTTGTTCATAAATTTTCGAAAATACAGTTTCCCTGAATATTTTTCAACGCATTCATGTTTTCTCGACAAATTTGATTAAAATGGTTATAACTTGACAACGTCGCATCTGATCTCTAAAAACAAAATGAGTTCGTGAAGCCCACATGAGAGAGATTCCGAAAATAAAAAAATATACGGAGTGTGCCATTTAAGTAAACGATCGATTCTTTCACCCCGGATTCATGGTGCACCCTGTATACTAGAAAATAATTTTGGAGAGTAGCTCATGAAGTCTCCAATAATTTTCGATGGAATTTTTTCTTATCTCTATCAGTCTAGTAGCTATGGTCCGAGCGAGCATAAGTGGGCCACCCTGTATGAAAGATCCTATCTTATTTTCGATAAGAAATAACCCCCTCAAATTTTGTACACTCATTAAGTTACACCCTGTATATTCATATATATCTTATAGAAACTCATAGTCTTCTTGAATCACTCGTGCCTGAAACAAACTTTCAAACCCTTTATTTGTATACGCCTTTAAATTACATATAATACTTATCAAATATCATTGAACGTTTGAGAAACATCAAGTGCCAGATATAACGTACTCATACGCTACAGAACTTGGTAATAGGTACTTATTATTACTAATATTTCTTTCACAAAACGTAACTGACATTCGTGCTCTTCTAATATCCCAGAATGAGAAGATAGATGGTTGTCTTGATTCAGTTGAAAATTTGAAAACTGAAAATAGGTCAATTCAAGAAAAATTGACTAAGTTGGAAAATAAAATACATCAGCTTGAAACTGGTAGCGATATTTACACTGAAGCAAAAATGCGTATACAGAGAGAGAAGAATGTAATTATTAGCGGGGTCTCGGACTCGTCCAATGATGCAAGTGTAGTAGAAAGTATAATCAAAGAGATCACTGGAACGAGAACTGTAACAGCTAGAAGCGTCATCAGGATTGGCAAAATTACCACGAACAAACCCAGACTCATCAAGGCCGAAATGGCCTCACCAGAAGATGCAATGTTTCTTCTGAGGAATCAATCAAAACTTAGGACTGGGAGATATCAAAATGTGAAGTTCCGAAACGATCTCACACCGAAGCAAGTTCAGGAGCGGTCGTTAATATTTCAAGAACTAGAAGCACGAAAAAACGCTGGAGAAACTGATCTGAATATTAAATATTACAATAATATTCCGAGAATTATTAAAAGATCTGAAAATCGTGTCGGTGACACAGCCGATGGAGCAGACAGAGTCAAACGACCCAGAGAAGAAGATAATTCCCCAAGAAATACACCTAAACTGAGAAATTCAAAAAACTACAACTCGACGAATTCACATCAATAAAATTGATTTTCTGGAATGTCAATGGTTACAGTAATCTGCACACTTTGTTTTCTGAATTGGACTTTGATTTTGACATTATATGTATTTGCGAAACCTGGCTGGTGAGTTCAAATGACTTATCTATTCCTAGCTTCTTTCTTTCTCATAATTATAGTGCTATATCAGTACCAGCCATCAAGGAGAAGTCACGAGGTCGAGGTAAAGGGGGGCTAGCCGTATTTTACAAAAAAAATTACTCTGTAGAAATTATCGATAGCTCTCCTTGGTGGCTGATACTATGTTTTAAATTTGAATCGTCCAAATTCATCTTGGTTTTTGGTTACTTCAATGACTCTGTAGATATTGAAGAATTACTAGACATGTTACAAACCTCAGTGACTGAAATCTTAGAAACACACACTGAATGGCCTATCATTATCTGTGGAGATTTTAACTCTAGAGTCGGTGAATTTGCATCAATACCTGAAGAGTTGGTAGAAAACACAATTTTGTTCAGCTCTATGAAGAATAACGACAAGGTAATCAATTCACGAGGTCACTCTCTTCTAGATTTCATGTATAGCAACTACTTTTCGCTAATAAATGGGAGCGTAGCTTCAGACAGGCCTGCCAGTTATACTTTCATCTCACACGTTGGTAAAAGTGTTATTGATCTGGCCTTCTGTGATAACAATCATCTGAATGCTATTAAAAATCTGATAGTTCTAGACTATGCTACCCCCTCGGATCACTTGCCTCTACTCTTAGAGTTTGAAGTCGATGGTATCAGTAATTCAAACGTATCATATTCAAGCTCTCAATCAGATCTTCAAAATCAAAAAATAATTCGATGGAATGACTCGCATATCTCATCTTATAAACATTTGATGAGTATCTCTCCAAACGTCGGAGTATTTGGTTCGACCACAAATTGTTATGAAAATGTAGTGTATTCCATATGGAAAGTTGCGGAAGAGCTATCCTTGGTTCGAAATCTGATTCACATATCTAACTTCAGTAAAAGGAAACCTTGGTTTGATGCTGAATGTAATAATTTGAAACGAAGTACTAGACATACTCTATTACTATGTAGAAGAAATCATTTCTCTGACCCCTTTTTGACTGACTACCTTACCAAAAAGAAAGATTATAGAGCTTTACTGAAAGTCAAAAAGAAAAACTATGAAAACGAAATCATTGAAACGCTTAAAAATACGAATGATCAGAAACAATTCTGGAAAACAATCAAATCGTTTCGCCCTCATAAAAATCCACCCTGCCCTATTTCAACAACGGATTGGGAATTGTTCTATCATAATGCTTATCCCCCAAAAAATGTAACAGATCTCACATTCTATGATGCCGGCAATCCATTCTTAGATGCGCGAATAGAAATTACCGAAATAATCAACTGCTTGAAAAATTGCAAGCCAAATAAATCACCGGGAAACGACGGGATAACTTACGAACTCATCCGAAATTTACCTCGAAACTGGCTGTTGTATATGTGCAGATTTTTCAACGATATTATTTCATCAGAAGACATACCTGAAGCCTGGTCACTAACGATCATGACAATGTTGCATAAAAAGGGTCCTATAAACGATCCATCTAACTACAGAGGGATAGCCCTTATCAACTGTTTAGCTAAAATATTCACCACAGTATTACTGAACCGATTAACCGCATGGTGTGAAGAGCACAATATAATCCCTGAAATCCAGTCTGGTTTCAGAAAAAATCGTGGATGTATTGACAACGTTTTTGTTTTAACATCAATATTACAAATCAATTTACGACTCAAAGAAAGAAAAGTATTTGCTGCTTTCGTCGATTTCAAGAGAGCTTTTGACTCGATCAAACACGATTTTCTTTGGAAAAAACTCTATAACTTGGGCATAAGCTCTAAATACCTCCGCATTTTGAAAAAGCTGTACGACAAGGCCAAAATGTCTGTTAAGACAAACCACGAACATACAAAAACTATTGACATTACTGAAGGGGTTTTACAGGGAGAACCGTTGAGTCCGTTATTGTTTTCGTTATATATCCATGACATTGAATCATATTTTCAAGCCAAGGGTTGCGTTGGTCTGAACATAAACGGAAATAATGATCTTCAACTTCTTCTATATGCGGACGACCTAGTTATTCTTGGCTATTCCTAAAGTGATTTGCAGCGCAAACTAAATGTATTGGCAGAATATTCACTTGAGAATCATCTCACAGTCAACACCGTTGAAACTAAAGTTGTTGTTTTTGCTAAAGGTGGACATGGTTATCATAAAAAAATGAATTTCCATATTGATAACAAACAAATAGAAGTAGTGAGTAAATTCACATATCTTGGAGTAGATTTCTCCTGCTCTGCGCTATTTTCAGAAATGGCGTTATCTACAGTCGTAAAAGCTAAACGTGCACTTGGTGCTGTCATGGAAATTATGTCTCGCTCCAAAAT